GATTCCGGCGCCGCCGACGAGCTCTTCGACGCCTGTCTCTTATACACATCTAGATGTGTATAAGAGACAGGACCTCTTCGTCCGATGGAAGAGGGAGACCGACGCCAAGGCGATAACGGCCGAGATAAACGCATCGGGTTTGTCGCACGGCGAGCTCGTTACGAGAACCTGCGGCAGAGAAAACGTTATGGACGCGAACGCAACTGTGGAGGACATGACGGAATTCAGAGCGAGCAGATCGGTTCTGATTCACACCCTGACCGCCGTCGGGGCCGCCACCTCGCCTGAGATCGGTCGACTCGGGGAGATCGCAAACCTGGAAAAGACGGTGCTCATGTCGTTCGAGCTTGCCAACCTCGTGTACGTGCCCGGCGTGGAAACCGAGTACAGGAATTCGGAACCGGAGGAAAGACACTGGATAATAGATAGCGCGAAGAACCTCGCGAACCAGCTGCTTACCAACAGCTACGATCAGCCGCTGTGGAACTCGATCGGAGGTTCGCCGATGGCCGTGGCCGTGTCCGTTCTTCAGACGCGGGTGTCGAACGCGGACGCCGGCGATCGGGGCACCGCGATCTGCCGAGGTCCGCGAAACCACGCGAGGTACGCGCTGAGAAGGATAACGGAGAAGAGAAGCAGGGCTTGCAAGATACCGCCCGTGAGACTCACCTGTCTGAGATTGCCGTCGGACGTCATCGCCCCCGCGACCAGACCTATGCCGGACACGTCCGACGGCGTGGGATCCACGGCGATCAGCAGACCGGATGCGAATCCGGATCTCCTGCCGGACCTCCGTTCTTCGGCCGGGAGAGCAACCTTCCGGAGAAAAGACGTTCGGCGAGCGACGAAGGCGAGCAGACGGGAATGCCCATGCATTCCAGCTCGTAGCTTCCGCTCGCTATCAGATTCATCATCTGCTGCACCACGTTCCCCTCGCTACCTCTATGTGTTCCGGCACCAGGTGCCTCCGGTGGGGACACACCTTGCGGACGCCTCTCTCGAAGCAGGCGCCGCACAGGTACGATTGCGTGATGTACTTTACGAGAGGTCGTCCCTCGTGTTTGATCGTCACCAGTTCCTGGGACCAGTGTTCGCTGGAGGTCATCGACGACGTGAGCAGAACCGACACGTTCTTAGGTTGAAACACGGGCAAGGTGGATATCATCGCCGCTTGCTTCATCCAAGGGTATTCGTCCATCCATCCGAGGTCGCAGCCGGTTCCTCTGGAAGCCTGAAACATATAAAAAAAGAGGCATTTAGAGGACAAAATATACGAAGATGGCTGCGGCAGCGCTCAACGCGTACGTGACAGCGAAAGGGTACAACATCTACCACGTCGACGAACTTCACGAATGCGTGCCGAATGCGTGCAGATTCGCGGAACCGCTGCAGGACGGTACCCACTTCGTATGCGAAAAGTCTCTCCGGGTCCACGTCTGCGCGGCCGACGAACGACTTTGCGCGATCCAACATTTTGACCACAACGTCAGAAGATGTTCGTTTACCGGCAAGGAGTTCTACCTGAACGATTACGAACCGGTTCGCTTGGAATCGGATCTGAAAGCCGCGAGGAGAAAGTCGAAGCAGCCGCCACAGGAAGAGAGCGGCAGCGAGCTGCAGCAAAAGCTTCAGGAAGCTGTCCGCAAACTGAAAGACCGAGAGAGATCGCACGCCGACTTGGAAGAGGAGTTGGAAGAAAAAGACGACAAAATCAGTGCGCTGAAGAAAGAGTCGACGCTCGTCAAGACCGCGATGTCCATGTACGAAAAGCGGGTGGACGTCTTGGAAGAAAACCTGAAAACGGCTTGCAAGCGATACAACGAGGAAGTGAAAAGCAGACGGATTGTTGAGGCGGCCGCGAAAAAGGCAGACGAGCACGCGCAATCAATGGCCGACAAGAACGTCGAATTGCAGCGAGAACTGTTAAGACGGCAACCCGAAGAGTCGTTGTACGAAATGGAAGTGAGCATCGGAGAGAAGGAGGAGTAGCGGCGAGCGCAATCCGGTCTGGAGGAGGAACGGAAGACGGTTATGCGATTGAAGAGTGCGATCGAGGACCTGAAAAAGGACCAAACGCGTCATTCGGAGGTTCTTCGAGAGAACAGGAACCTGAAGGAGGAGGTGGAAGCGAACGCCAGGAGAATCGAAAGTATTGACGACGAACTTCGCGCGTCGAAACGGACGCTCGGCGACAGAGACAGACTGATTTCGGACAAAGATTGAGCGACGTCCAACCTGAAGAAGGAAATCGCCATTCTCAGAGACGAACTTCGTGCCGAAAAGGACAAGGTGGCAACAGCCGTGAAGGAACGCAGCGACGACGACGCCCGAAGTTCAGTGACGCTCGAGAAGATAAAAGACGAATTGCGACTGGCGAACCGGGAAGCGGCGGCTGCAAAGGACCTCCAACGACGGTCGGCGACGAAGCTGGAAGAGACCGAGAAGCAGGTGGAGAGTCTGAAGGAACGGTTGAATGAAAAAGGTCGCTCGACTGCAAACGCGAACAAGGAGATCGCCTCCCTCAGAGACGAACTTCGTGCCGAAAGGGAAAAGGTGGCAACGGCTTCCAAGGAACGCAGCGACGGCGACGCCCGACGTTCGGCAATTCTCGAAAAGATCAAAGAGGATCTGCGATTGGCGACTCGCGAATTGGAGACTGCCAAAGACAGGGAACGAAGGTCGGCGAAGAAGTTGGAAGAGAGCGAGAGGGAGGTCGAGAGTCTGAAGGAGTGGTTGGACGTAACAGAGAAGAATCACGAAGCGAACCTTCGCGAGTTTCGTTCTTCCGTCGAGTCCGACAAGGCGAAGGCGATATCAGATCTTGAAACGGCCAAGGCCGATCACTCCGACAGGACCGACATTCTCCGAACTGAGATTGCCGATCTTAAGGAAAAGCTGGCCGAGGCCACTCGAAAGGAGCCTTCGCTGATCAAGGATGTCGAAAAATTACCCGCCCTGAAGGATGAGAACAAGAAGGAGAGTAGGAGGATGGAAAAAGCAGCTTTCCGATAAAGATCGCACGGCTATCGACTTGCGGAACGAAATCGACACCCTGGAAGAGAAAACGAAACGGAACGGAAGTGATATTGACGATCAAATGACGGCCTACAAAGAAGAGATTGAAAGAAACGTGAAGAGGATGAAAGAGTTGGACGCTACGATCG